CGAGAGATTCACCTGGGTTCCAGGTGAGTCTCTCGAAAGAACCGAATTAGTTTGCAAATGAGTGTGTATTCGCTACTTTCGTGCATTTTGGTTTCACGTAGAACATAAGGTTGACGGAAACCCGGGGACTGCGCCTACCTGATGAGCCCCAAGAAGGGCGAAACCGGTCGTGGGCTGTCGATGGATTTTCAGCAACCTTATGAGTGGTACATTACAAAGATATGGTTGTGTATTCTTTCTCCCGATGTTTTTAGCAGAATATATTCGGCGCACAATAGGCAACTTGCTAAGAGAATACCTGGGAATCTCTCTTACCGGAACAGCGTTTCAACCAAAAGCTCAGTCGCGTCCCACTTTACTGATACTGGTCACGTGATCAATCCGAATTAGTCGTTGCATGTCATCTACCATGGTCTAATCACTGACAATGTGTTTGCGAAACCTGATACTGTTCTGTCAAAACCGATTTGTACGATCACTGAGTTTGCCTTAGTCTTGTGACAAGAATCGATTGATCCAGCCACTCAACGCCCTGTAGACGGTCTCAAGTGTCTAATTAGATGCCAGTCTGGTTATGCTGACAACCAATCGTCCTTTCGGCCTCGTTTTCTCATTCAGTAAAAAATCTTAGCTGCCTATTTCATTATTTACCTCTATTTAACCATCAGATATGCACTGACCTGACGTCAAAATCCCTTTTCCTCTAAGATGGTTTTGCCACAAAATGGCTCGGTGAATGTGTTCCATTCCGATCAGCGAAGAGTTGGTCCGCAATTACAGGCAGTTCGCTCTTTTAAATTTCCGCTTAACGCTTCAGATAACGAACTGCTCTATAGATGTACAGATGTGTTCACAAAGGACATGATACTGTCCTAAAGTGACCAAACCCCTTACCTTCACCTTCAAGATGATCTTTCGCACAGTTATTTATCACGATACTTGCCACCGCTTATCCTATTCCTTCATTGATTTCCACTTTTAGGGTTCTTGGGACGAAGAACCTTCGCGTGGCTGACGCCTCTGTTATCCCGGTGGTCCCATCAAGCAATCCAATCACGTACGTAATGGCTGCTGGGAATCATGCTGCACGGAGCATTCTACAGCGCTACTGGGATCAGTTAGAGCGTGGCGAATTGGAATTGGACGGATAACGGCTTTCACAAACCTTGACCACATGCATCCAGTCTTTTGGGCAAAGCATATTGTTTGTAAAGCTGTTATACAAAACCTAGGGTATTGTTAAGTTCACAGTGGCTTATATAACTCCCAAAAAAATAATATTTCCGCCTGAAATCTTGGCATATTGATTCCGGGAAACCACATTTAATGGGTCACCAAGTTTGCGTAAATGCAAAGGCGCTAGAAACGCACCAATGCAAAGCTTGACGCTGTTCACTTCCACATCCACAATAACGTGAACATATAGGGGCAGCCCTATGGAATGCCGGATTCGAACTGTCCCAGGTGGCTACTAACAGCCATTTTGAAACCTTGTACATGAAAGCCAGGGAAGCTTAGCCACTATCCAAGTTACTGTAGGTCAAATATTGAAACTGATGAGGAGATTCCATTCTGGTAGTAAAGTCACTCTAGCCTGAAAAGCCAATAAAAACGGTACAGATGTTTAATCCGTACTGAGGATCCGCAGTGCACACCTCAGAAAACTTCACAACGTCTGGAACCCGCAGCTGATAGTTTGAATACTTACCCTTTGAACCACTAGATGTTGATCAGCACTGCAATTAAAAGGCACTATTAATTGGCATCATTCTTCCTTCTGGCCAAACGTTTAACTGTTCAACATAATAACCAGGAATTCGCGGATTCGAGACTCTCTGGAGTTTCGTGAAATGTGCATCGCCGATGACTCCCGATAAAGATGGAACAGCTGTGCAGTGCTTCTCGGCTTTTCAGTATAGACTGGCCTTAACGATAGAACAAAATCTCATTCTCAAACGTGAAAGCGGTTTTCATTGATGTGATGACGTCTTCAGATATCTGATGTCATTTCTTCTGCCCACCATCGAATGAATTCATTGCATAGCACTCCAATTCAAACACTTCTCCCAACAACACCCTCAGATACCAATGCACACTGGCGTCTAGAAGACATTTTCCAGTCATATTTTATAGCTTTCCGCCGCCATCTCTGAGCTTCACAGTACAGTATGTTTTTTAGCATCTCCACTATTCACGAAACTTTGTTACCTTGTCCCGTCAATTTAGGGAACGGCGAAATCGATTAGTGCACAGATTCTCCAGCGATATGCGTACATGACTGGAGCTAGAAGTCATTCTAGCGAACGCGGGAATAAGAAATTACTTCGGTAAATGGACAGTTAGAATATTGTTGTCTGTCTAATACAATCATCCAATAACGTGCCTAAATATGACGCATTATTGACGTAACTATCTGTGCCGACCCATCAACCCATCGCTACATACCACTTTGCTCCCCAATAACGCATTAATTATGCCACCTCGTTTGGTGGTGAAATGCTTGCAATCAAATTGCCCAGCTCAGCGAAAAAATCGACGCCATCTATGCTACCTGAGCTACCAACATTCTGTTGTGTAGTAGACAACAATTGTTTCTTCTTTGGAGCTCAGTCACCCATTTTTAGAACGGGAATCGACTATGGTGGTTCGGAGTAGTGGATATCCAGCCAGCTTAGTTAGGCGTCACATGCGAACGGTGTCGGTACCGGTGAAAGGAAGAAAGTCTTCCCTGCGGAGTTACTTATTCGGAAATGCCAACTAGACCGGTTACAGACCATTGAACAGGGAAGCAAAACTCTAATCTGCATCTTAGTTACAAAAACTGGACACAGATCTTCTCCCGAACGAGTCCGAAGAATTCTAAAGACGGGTAACATGAGAGTAGCTTTCCAGAGGGGGAACACTCTGCACTGGTGCAATTAAAGGATCACCTCCCGGACTGTGTCTACAAAATTAAGTGTAATGCCTGCACCAAGGTCTATATAGGACAGACGGCCAGGGAACTGCATATCAGAATCGGAGAGCGTAGTAGAAACGCAGATGAATACCAAGCGTTGCTGAAAGGCCCAGCGATTGCGGAACACGCACTGGATACAGGACATAGCAGATTTAGAAAATGTTGAGGTTTTGAGGCGAGGACTACGATCCACGTCACACAGACTGATCGCCGAGGCGGTAGAAATCGTCAAGCATCCCACTGTTAACAGAATAGGTGTGGAACTGGCAAGCGTGTGGAGAACGGTGCTGGATCAGTCGAGCTGACACGTGTTGGTGTGCGGTCATCAGAAGGAGGAATAGTCATCTGAATTCCACTTGACCTCAAATCCCCTCAAACTAAATTGTCGGAGCACTCACGACCCCAAAAAGACCAGGGAAAATCTCCCAGTGACAACCGGGATGAATCATCAACTGAAGCACTCTGAAGATTAACAAACCAAACCCGATCAGAATTAATTTAACCCCCCCCCCCAATCCACCAATGCAAGATTTTGACAACTTTTCTAACCGACAAGAGCCGTTAATTGACACTCGACACTGATCTAGTGCGATAATCTGAAGATGACTGACTTACTGATTGGTTCCTCGTCTGCCTTATAATCTGGCCAACTTAGTGACCTGCTCACTTCGCCTGATGAAGCTTTTCTGTCAAAAGCGAAAAAATGCCCAAATAAAATCTACCGATTGCTTATCAAGCTCTTCTGAAGCGAGGTATAATCCTTCTTGGAACCCATCAGTTGGACCAGTCCACGACCTTCCGTTACCCCAACTTGGACGAATTTCGACTAACACTCTAAGATGCACACACATTTGGTTTCGACAATGAATTCAAACAAATCCACCTGAATCGATCATGTATGGTCTGATGTCCTGGTCGCCTCATGTTAAATTTGGTACGATTTTTGAGATATCGCAATAGATTATCATACTACCCATGAGGCTATGGAAAAATCTCCCACAGTCTTCGACGGTGTATTTCGTCTGGATGACTCATCTAGGCGCTTCCCCACCAACGTGTTTTCTGGTTGTAAAATACGCATTGCTTGCTCCGTTCATATATTCCCGTCTATCACAAACTATCATCGTGCATTCTTTCTGTGAGGACAAGTTGACTGTAGCATACCCAAGCATTCCATGAATAAATAGTATCCCCCCGCTAACCACTGACCGATCTCAAGCAAATAGTTGGGTCACAACAGCAACACATTGTCAGGTGAATCTGAAAAATGTGCATTTTCCTGTTCTGATGAAGCTCGTTTTGTCTCTCTCCAGTTCAACCTTTGTTGCTGAACATTTGTCAGGAACGACAAGCTGTCTAAGCGACTCCTGAACTGTATTCGCCGGAAAGTAAGTAAGGCATGTATCTTTTAGAGCATTCGGCCACTTTTGGCTCAGTAACATCCTCATTGGTTGGATGTTTTCGGGGGATTATCAACAAAGTGCAACGTCACATAAACTTTCATTAATGGAGATTTCGCCCCTTAAATAGAGCCAGTCTGTTTTATAAAGCCAGGAAGCACTGCATAGTTGTTTCCTTCTTGTAGGGAATCATCAGCAGTCCACATCTCATGAAACTCCAGTGGGTCCGAGAACCGCAACTTCCTGGCATTATATCCTGTCTAAATGCGGGTAAATTACGCTGCTGAGCAGCCGGCAGTCAAATAGTCAAGTCGTGGGTCCGAGACTCTCTGGAGGTTCGTGAGATGCGCACTGCTGTGTAGTGCTTCTTGGCTTTTCAGCATATATTGTTTTGACTTACAGGATGAAATCTCGAAAATTCCCGAATCTCTTCACAATAGGTAGGTAGGCACATTCATCGGTTAACCCAGTCTATGGCAATGACATGAAAAACCGGTACAACTTATTACCCGCTGGTTCAGTGGATACTGCGTATGCGACAAAATTGAATGCATGTGACGTCAAAACTCCTCAATCAAAACAGGTCGTTGATTGATTGTAGAAAGTGATTCTTCTCCTCTATACATAAAACAAGCTTGATTAAAGGTGAATGAAAACGCTGAAAGGGTACCTTAACACTAACAAAATCACATTCAGTGTTTCGATTAGATCAAATGAGGGCAGATTTCCAGTCCCTCGGATTAGTCGTTGAACCAAAAACGGACTGTGAAACAGTCTGCGATAGATTGTGGGTGTGATCGGTGGATGATGGAGGATTAGCGATTTCGGCGCGACCATAAACCAACGCCCAGTTATTCAGCATCTGTGCAAAGTTACCATGGATTCAAACAAGGCATGCTGGCAAGCCAAGTAACCGTCGTACATTGTAGGATAGGAGAGAGAAAGTGATGGAAAGCGTTCCCATTTCGATGTGTCCAGACACCGGAACTGGGACAGATCTGAAAAAATAAGATGAAGGTATAGATGTGATACTCTACTCATAAGGTTGCTGAAAATTTTTCGACAACCCACTACAGCTCTCGCCCTTCTTGGAGCTCATCATTTAGGCGCAGTCCCCAAGCTTCCGTCAAAATTATGTTTTTATCTAAAAGCGTCATAAACGAAGGGTTCAGCTGAATTCCAGGTGAGTTTTCCGTCAAATCCAAATTGTCACGCCAATGAGTGTATTTTTCGAAGGGCGGAGCTATTTATAGCCCCCCCCCACCGGTGTTGCTTGTCTGATACCTGAGAACTTGAGAAAACCTGCGTCCAATGGGAGATTCAGAGTGATCTTTTCGGCAGTCAAAGAGTGGTCAATCAAATTCGAGTCAACTTCCTCGCCTGTAGTGGCCTGATTGGAGGTCCTCTAGTGAGGAGAATCTAGTCCTATTTTCATCAGTTATGGATGGCTTTCATGAGCCGAAATCTTCTCCCTTGCGTTGGTGGTGTTTTGAGACATTGTCTGGTGGGGAAAACTGAGAACCTGTCTAGATTATATATTGGCCTTATCTCTTGAAAACTCAGTTAGCAGGAAGGAGATCCGAGTAGAGAATCCAGCTCTGCGAGTGAGTGTAAAAAATGAAGAAGTTAGCCATGAAGTTACAGTCTTGATCCCTCAGCACTATCAAAAATGGACTTATCGCTTGAAGTTTATGAAATCAGGCACCAAATTCTTGGGGTTTTACCGAAAACGTCATCCCTTATTCTGCAGAAAAAATAGCATCCGGTGTGTTATTATTTTGTAAAGCCCAAGTAAATATCTCCCATAGACTGAAGATTCTGAGGCAATGATCACAATGGACAGTGATCGCAAATGCAGCTGGTAATGCTGCAATAAGATGAATTCAATGTCTTCGTGTATGTGTGTGCTTCGTACTGAACAGTCGATGGCTTGCGTCCATTTATAGGACTATATCGTACATAATTGCACCTCCAGTTACATAGTTAACTCAGACCTTTTCTACACTATATCAACAGAAGCATCTGCTTTATATGCTTTCATACCATCATTGTTTGTGGTCTAACAGTCGGTCACGCGGTCTGGTCTATGGATAATGGAAACTCTGCTGCCTCAGACGTTGACAAGCACTTCACTAAGACAAGTAGAACGATGGATAATAACAGATAAAAATCATTACACATCTATAACACCATTTTGGTGTGGGAAGCACAAAGATTGACATTTCATCACATCACCAAAGCCTAGATAGAAGCCATCGAGATATACTGGTTTGATTCGAACCACGGACCTTCGAGTCAGGAATTTCGTACCCTAACCGCTGAGTATTTTATAACTCCGTGGTAGGATAGTCTGTCTTTGTTGCGCCTAACTAGAATTATTGCAATCACAATGAGTAAATTTTTCCAACGAGGATGCTTAGAACAAACGTACCTCCAATATAGACCAGAATCACACCGATAGAGTAGAATTGTTCATGAACCGTTGAAAGACAGAGAGCTCCGGATGGATCCACATCGGTCATACCGCTGATATCAATAAGCAGAAACCGTTGGGGTGCGTATTCTTTTTTGTCGTGTATCTCCAAGTAGAATTTTTCCGTTTTATCTTGAGACATCTACAGATAACGCACAGGATAGAAGAAGACTGGCCTAGAACCAATGAATTGATCTCAAGTACTAACAGGGAAATGGATGTGAGGCCTAGTACGAACGAATAAGACTTGGCAGGAAGCTATTGTCCTTGAGCCTCTTGAATTACAATAGTGCTCTAAAACAGAACTCGTTGAAACTCAGTTCGCAAATATCAACCTTTCAGCGAACAGGGATTTGATCCGAAAGTCTATATGATAAACGTTCCCGTTTTCCTGGGGTCATAGACATTCCAGAGAAAGTTCCAAAGCCATCTACAACTGTTTCTTGATTCACCAGAGGGCACACCTATTTTTCACCCGTTGAGGGCCGATCATACAGAAGAATAGAAAATTCTAGAGTGGAGCAGCCTTGAGCAACTCAGGTTTTGGGTGAATTCACTGCTTACAGTAATCCTCCAAGTCACGTGTGACTTGGTGGTTCACCTCGATTCTTTTTTCGTGACTGTCGGTTCCGAAGATCACGCAGGGCAGCAACGGAACGACAAGAATCCACAACAGCAAATCGATTACTGAGCTTACAGATATCATCCAGCTAACAAACTGGTCGAAGTCGCACGTTTGTAGTTCAGCCGCATGCTCGTGCGGTCGTCCCAAAATGCAAATGGTCGTTTGCCTGTCATTGGTCTATTTCGTTGAACACCTTGCCCGTCTTGTTTACGCCAGATAACTGAAAACACGTTCGTTCCGGTTGACTACTCCAACACCGGTTAGTTTACCTACAGATGAAGCCACCTGTACTGTGATCGAACACCAATGATTCAGTGTCAACGCGTTTTTTACTGCAAGAGTATTCACCATAATAAACAATGTCGGTTGAAACGGAACGTCGCATTATTTAGTTGCGGGGTTACATGCAGAGGAACTTCACTAAGTACCGACAGGTTTGATGTTTAACAATCGTATATATTTAGACTGTTAAACGTTTATTTATTATCTTGTACAGGCATTGATTGCCATTGATTAAGTGTACAGGAAAAGGCTCCGAAAGAGTTTTTCTCAAACATCGGAATACCATAAGCATTCTAACATCGGTTAACACCAACCTTGAGTGCAACATTCTCATGCAGATAAATGCTTCCGAATTTCTCAAATGTCATAACAAGTAGACCAGGAGAAACTCGCTGAACTCAATAGTGGACCGAAAAAAATCATGAGCGTGACTATGAAGGTCATATTCACTCTTACCAGCGACTATTTGAGGGACTTATTTGAGGTCATCAACATGTTATTCCCTTATCGCCAAATCAAGCGGTGCTTTATGGCACAAGGAGCCTGGAAACCGTCCCCATACATCCTCTGCCTTCCTAAATAAAACGTGTTGAACTCAGGTGGCTAGGACCGAAAGGTGGTTGGCTGAATCAAGGTCACAAGATCGTATTCAGCGGGCAAATGTTGCGATGACCTCTATCTAGTCCGAATACGTATATCGCGTGAATCGGGTGAAGAACGTAATTTCTGCCAACTGGAACGAAGTTTGAAACCATCCCATAACCGCTGGTCTTCTCAGCTGAGCACCACATAGACGTACACGTATGGGAGCTGGGCAAGGGATTGTCAAATCCGTTGAGTTCTGGCAATTTTAAATGGCCATGGCGAATACATTGACGAATCAGAATCTCATCATCAGTTGTTAAACGTGCTAGTTTCAGGTGACAGATGTGCTTACACGGGATCAAAAGTTCGATTTGCGACACTGTTGATTAGGTATGCACTCATTACCCACTGATTCCAATGCTGATGACACTGATTTCAGAAATAAGCCTAAATGATGATTGGCTAATCCGTATGGCACAAGAGTTTCAATGCAGACAAACAACCGGATGCTGATCACATCGGTGCGGAAGTTTGGATCGTGTACATGGACAACTGTTAACAGGGAGCTGGAATGATGCCCCAGGTGTGACCAAGACAGAAGTGCACGCAAGGCACTGGGTCCGACAACACGTGATATGCCAGTACATCGGGTTTCTTGTCGTGGTTTGACTGGTCAAACTATTATTGAATGCTACAGTAGTGAATAGTGAGTAGGAGTCTAAATATGGCTAACAACAAGGCTATTTGAGTTTCAATCCGGAGGGTTCTGTGCTCACTATAGTTCTGTTGAATGATCCATTTTTTTCCATTAAACCGTTTTCTCCCGGAGAATGTAGTGTTGATGGTTTGCTGGAAAAAACCACTGCGCCGCATAAACATTTCAGCTATGTGCATATTGCGTTCACTTCTACTTTGTGATCAAGTCTGGTTCGTTTCGCTCCCAAAATTTGTTATTTACGGCCACTCATTATGGCTTAATTCTTTGTCCAAAAATAGAATTCACAAACAGTCCAAATATAGGTGATACCGTTTCCACTGCTTGCATGCGTGTGTATGTGGTCACGTTACCATACAACATGAGCTAGCGCTCCACATCTTCCCCAATTAGAATCTGTCTTGATTTATAAATTCCAAGATCCCACTTGTCTGTAAGACAAGCGACGGTCTGCAAGTACGCCGTTGTCACAGAAAAGCCTGATTTGAAAATGTTTCACGTTAGAACGCTGCTTGCTGGAAACCAATGACATTCAGTTAGCGTGTTAGAAACCCGTTACATATTATTAAACACTCGCTTTACGCGAAAACAGCAGAATCTATATATCTGAAAATGTTTTTGTCGGTGAGTTTTTCCCATTCAAATCCATGGATCAGTAAAGCCTTGCGTGGCAACTAAGGGCAGTTAGCCCTTGAAATCGCCAAATCACGTAGGTAGAACTCAACACCATGAGAGGAAAGTGTTAGTCAGCGGACAAGTCTAAAACTGAAAACCACGCGAACGCAATAGATATCGGCCTCCAATCGAACTCCGGATCGATATTTGGGACCAATCAGTTTTCAAAGGTGATAGACACTGAAGATGCCTAGACAGATGGCGTGCGTAGCAGCTTTCAGAGTCAGACACGAGGAGCATACCTGTACAGATATAGATTGAATATGGGCACAAATTAAACTGTTTGGGATATGGAACACGTTGGTTTCTCTTCTCGAACGTTAGCGATCCCAGACTTATCCAAAAAAATTGGGTTGAAGTTCAGATGTTAGCGTTAACGACGAAAATGACGAAGACGGAAGTAAATTAGTCGGGCTGTTGATTGCGAGTTATCTACACGAATCAAAACCGACAAAATTGAGATCGTTTGCACAAGGTCTTCCAGAGCTAAAAGGACCTGGGGTCATGATCGGCATATGTCATTCAGTATAAATGACGATTTGTAGACAGCGAGGATCATAAGGCCCTTCGGCCAGATGACTGACAGTCAAACGGCCCAGTGGCGTTTGCTTGTGCAGTGGGAAGATTTTGGGGAGGGACATCGGTGGACGCTGACCTACGCGGGCAAACGATACTTCCCGGTTGCCCAGGCCGAGGAAGGGGGTTTGGTTGAGCCTTTGACTCAAAAGTCTGACCCAGAAGGCAGTGGGATGACGTAGGGTTTTGTTCGGGGACCCTGACCCTAGCCT